GAAATTTTGACCATATTGAAATACTGCAAATGGTGCTGAACAAATTATGCCTATTGCTACACAAAATCCTTTTAGCTTTACCATCAATAGAATGTATAATATACATTATTTTATCCAGAGAAATGAATAAGATTTTTTTAATGGAAGAATCATTAGGATCCTGGAAGTATCTTAGAATTGGAAGTTATATTAGAGAAAATTCTCTTTTATGCCTTTCCACAATGAATTTGGACTTCTACTCTCATTCTTGATGCTTTTATCATTTTAATCGAACTGGTGCATTAATTTAATCAATTCACCCAAAACAAAGCAATAACACCACTATGATGCAAGGGCCTACAGAAAGTAAAAGGGAAAGAAAAGACTTTAAATGAACTAGAAACCAAATCGTAAACAGGAAATAAGTGATAAACCTGTTCCTGTTCAAAAAACTAGAGAGGAGTGTGAACAGGACTATAGGCTAACGTATCTACTCTTATTGTGGGAAAAAGGTAAATAAATAGTAAATAAAATTTCAGGTTTCAGGTGTGGGCATTAGAATTATAGAGTTGAAATAGAATTTAGAAGTAACTGGAAACCCAATCCTAAGGAGGAGACAAGGGATAAACCTCTACTCCTGTTCAAAAGATATAAATCTATTATGTTTAGTAAAATAAAATCTATCACTGAGACCTTCTGTTGCTCAAATCTTAATAAGCAAGTGCTGAAAATTGATCTTTGTGTTATTCTAGTAAGCTGTATATTATATTTTTTTCAGACTGACTACCTGATGGCTTCACTTTCAGGTAAGTCTTTAACAAAAAGGCTCATCATACAGCACTTCCCAACTGAATTAAGAAGGGTAAAATTAGGGTATACCCTAATGACTGTGGCATATATCCTGGCATTTTTTGGCACCTATCAGCATCAAAATAAATCTTTCATTTATCTATGGATATGGATTGCCTGTGTTTAGAGGAATCTTTGACAATCAGATCTAGACCTATCTATATGAGAAGAAAACCCTAACCAGATAATCTCAAAGAATGCATTGAATGAATTTGCTCAATATAAACAATAAAAATGAGAATATCTGAGTAATGACAATGAATTCTCTTAGAATTTCCAACCATGTTTTTTCTTTGAAAATGATGCAAAAGACCATTGTTTTTAATGAAAATTAGAAAATATTTACATTAATAAGAGTACTTATAGAGAATAAGACAAAAAAATCACTGAAAGATGTATTCAGTTGTTATCAAATTTTATAGAAAAACAAAATAAGGACAATATCCATTACCAAACAGGAACATTCAACATTCATTGACTGAATAGTTAATAATGTTGTTCTGCTATCTGACAGGTCCCTTCAGAGTGTGAGCAACCATTGTTCTCCATGACGTTCTGCTTGAGTAATGATAATGAATTCTCATAAAATTTCTAACAGTCTTTTTTCCTTGAAAATGATGGAAAAATCTCAGGTTTTTATAAGTAGATTAGAAATCTTTACTTATCCCTGTGGGCAAACTGCCAACCTTTTATACAAGTTATTGCACTTAGCAGAAACAGACATAAGAGAAACAAAGTTTATGTAACAAATTTGTCAAACATATTACTAAATAATAATATCTGATCAAAGATTTTCAACTTTTTTTTGCAAACAGTGCATCAGAAAGGATTAATAATCATAAATCATCAGTCATCATCATGATTATAAATATTGTCAGGATTCATCAAGTATATGTACCAATTTCTTCAGCGAAATTTGTTTATTATGATAAAGGTATAATTTAATTCTTGTTACTGGAATAATCTTTGCTCTTTTGATTGGTATCTTGAGATGAAATATAAATTTATTTTCAAATGATTTAATTATACAAGCATATTAATGTTAAGATTTTTACCAGTCTAATAATGCTTTAACTATGGTGAGTGAGGACGAAATCCTTCAAGCTATATGGCGAGATTTCAATTATTAACTCTCACCAGGCTGTGTCAAATTTTTAATACCTTTATCAAAATCTTGATGCAAAATAATGGAAACTTTTTGTTACCATCCTTCAGAATATTGTTTTTATCTGACAAGATTGGTTATAAACCCTAAATACATCTAGAGTCAAAACATAATAATTTTATTTTTATATAATTGACAACCAGTTTGAGTAACAAATTAATTCCAAGATACTTACAGGATCTTAATTATTAATAAGTTTAACAAGATTTTTGTTGTAAATTTGTAGAATTATTTTGATATTTATAAAGAGTTAGAAATGATGTTGAGGAGATGAGACAAAGCCATAAATCTGAAGTTTCTATGTCCTTGTTGTTGAACAATCCACATAGCTACTGATGCAGAACAGTGTAATAATTTTTTCTTTTTTTTTTTTACAGTAAAGTTCATTGTGTATAAGGCACTCAATGCAGAGGGTTACATTAAAGGGAAATTTATATTGATAGGAGGGAAAATAGAAGTTAACTGTAGACATGAACAGATTAACATTGTAGTGATTGGTGAAACATCTTGTTCCACAGGGCAGTGGTTTAGGAGAAGAAGCTGTTTGAATGGAACTTATTTCTCGCTGATGGAATACAGAGGGAATATGAATGGTTTGCTATGTAAGTGGCACAGAAGGTCCTAGCTGCGAAGGTTAGAACTGGTGGAACCAAGGAATGTAGTTCATCCAAGTACTTCCCATTGAAGTAGCAATAGAGCAGTGAGAGACTCACCACATCCCACCAGTGACAGAGGTTGGAGGGTGAAAAATAATTCTTGTCCAACAAGGACATGGAGACACTTTTAAACTCTATTAGAGAAACACAGATCATTTCTGTATAATACAACATTGAGCAAATGGTATGTTTGAATGATACACTAGTAGAATGTAGATACATAATAACATCTCTTCTTTTACTGCCAATGTGATGTAACAAATAATCATAATATGGAAAGTTCTTTAAAATGTGGCAAATACTCCAACACTGTCATTTTTAGATGATCAAGAATTTTTTCCTATACAACAATTTTGTTGAAAGCAGTTTTCAGGTAAGTAGAAGATTAAATATTATCTGGATAATTCACTGAATCAGATGCAAAATTAATTAACTGAAAGGTAGCAAGAGAAAATCACCTGATGACTGAAAAATGATTCTATAAAATCACAATACAATTCAAATGTTTAAGGCCACCAATGATAATTTGTTAAATTGGTCCCCAAGTAGTTGTTTTGTACTTTAAATAAGAGAAAATTATTATGCATGGTTAAAAATAGTGAGACATGATTTTTATTAGAAATTTTGACAAGAAGAATAAAAAGCATTTTATAATTAAATTTTGCTCTCGTCAAAATATCCTCTTTTAGCCTGGATTAGTGCAGTACATTTTTTTGCAGAAGTTTATCAAAGCATAGGTTTGATAATTGATTCCATTCTTTTTTCATTGCTTCTAAGAGAATATTTTCATTTTTTGGATGGAAAGGCTTCACTCTTCTGTCAAGTTGATCCCATGCTAACTTTGGGGTGGCTTCAAACTTTGTAACTGTTGTATATATATATATATATATATATATATATATATATATATATATATATATATATATATAATTGGTTTTGTTAAAAGATGCTGATAGCTTTTGCATCAACATATGCTTATATGTGTAAAAATTTAGATATGAATAAAAACATATATGTAAAAAGACAATATGAATAAAAACTTATCTGTAAAAAGACAATATGAATAAAAACTAAGGGAAAACTTTTCTTTACTGATTATTAACAATATCAAAATAATAGCAACCATATCTAAAACTTTTGTGGATATGTTCAGAACAAAAAATGTCTATAAAATAATATTTTTGAAGATGGTATATAATAAAATAAACTGTTACAACTGATCCTTACAATATATTAGAGAAACTTACAGAAATTTTTAAAAAAATATCTATGAACACAAAAAGGATCTTATACCTAAAAATTTATCAAATGCATTAGTCCTACATTGAAATTATTTCAACCACAATTTTGATCTAAAGAATGCCACACTTATTAAAAGAGAAAGTATCTTACTTAGATAGAAAATTCTTCAGAGTGCCGCTATTGAATCTTTTGAATCTTACCAAAATGTAAATCTGCACCCAGAATTTTTCAAATCTTTCCTTTTCTAAAAGATATACTCCTTTCCCAAGCCAACATATATGGCCATAAAAATTTTTAAAAAGTTAAAAGAAAACAGTAAAATTAAAACCTCTCATTATTTAAAATGGATAAGTACATAAATAATTTATCAAATGTATAAAATAATAATTGCATTATAAATATATAAAAAAAAACTTTAACCTACATCAATAAAAACATTAATCAATTTAATTTATTAGGTATTAAATTACATCTCTTAGCATATTGCATAGTTTACCTTGACTTCCACAGTTAGCCTAAAGAATATTTAAGAGTGGTCTTAAATTTAAAAATTTTGAAAACAATGACATTTTTATTTCTGTTTATAAATATTTGTTGCAAAATAAAATCTTTACATTTGCCTTGGTATCAGAGGATGAAACGCAGCAGTAAAGATAAATTTTCCTTTTGTCTTTATTCATATGCTTATATGTTTTTATTTAAACTTCCAGAGGGAAATCAAATTATTTTTTCTTATAGAACAAACAGCTATTTAACCATTTTAACAAATATAGTGACTGTTTAGGATTTTAGTTTTGAAGAATTGGTTTGGGATTGAAAAATTTTAATGCCTAATTGTAATCTTAGAGTAAGTGTTTCATTTTTTTTATTGCTTATCAAACTTTTGCAGGTTATTTAAAGCTGGAAAATATTTTTAGATTGTAAGAATTTTTTGGAGATAATATTGATAGAAGTCCTACTAATTAATCCATAGGTGGGGAGAAGAGGTGGAGTCATAGTTAAAGGGTCTTTAAATATAAATAAGTATAATGAACTTGACCAGAATTGGAATTTGGCTTTCCGATTTCAAATTCTGAGCTGTTATTCATTACACTACACACACATTGAAGCTTACAACACTTGGTATTCCCATGTAGTTGCCCATCTAGTTACAAACCAGGCTTGATATTGCTTAACTTTGTTGATCGTATGAGAACCGGTGTTTCAACATGATAAAGCTGTAAGCCTGTAATCTTAGAGAATATTTCTCAAGACTATTCAATTGGAACAAGATCTCATACGTATTTACTAAATGCAAATTTGAGTAGATACCCAGGGAATATCACTCCCCTTACTGTTCTAATTGCCTACAAAATGAGTTGGTATTTATATATTATAAGTTTAGCTTTGTACAATACAAATTCAAAAGTATGAAGCACACCTGTGAGGACTGAAGTCTATAAATGGTGTGTAGAGATTGGCCTGATAAATACTGCCCTCTGTTGATCCTAATACATGCTAACGACATTACATATAGATTAGTCATTTTCTCAGCCTACTGAACCTTTCTTAAAGGCACCAGTGCAAAATGAATGCCTCAACTGGGATATTCAAGTAAGCCTGTTGATGTTTTAGCACTGATAATCATTACACTACCAACACATCCTCCTTTATATTTGTGCGCATGTGTGTCTATGTAATGTGCCTGATACTGAATTGTGTTCAGCATGCAAATCCACAATAATAGATGATTAAATTCTGATTGTCTCAACAAAATGAGCTTGTGCCAAATCAAGTTAAGAGTCATAAGTATTGTTTTTTTAATCATTTCATCCCAAGTAAGGCAATAAAGCCCCTAAGACATAAGGGATTGTTATGATAGAATATGTGGGAAAAAAAAAACACTATTAAGGAGAGAGAACAATAAAAAACAGGAATTAAGACAGATGTTAATGACCGATATTACATTTAAATTTTGGAAGATCAAAGTTGACTGTAAAGCATGTAGACAGAAGAAAATTCCACATGTGAGAAGTGTGATAGAAGAAACTGTTAGCATAGAACTTATGATTACATTTAGCCATTTTAAGTGTAAAATGGCAAGACCTTTCCACAAATGTAGTATTGTTTAAATTCATGACGTCTAGGTACCATAGTGAAAAGTTTATCAGATCAATTAACATGAAAGTATTTATAGAACAGGCACAGAGAAACTATGTTACTGTGGTAAGAAAATGGCTGAAGCCGAGATACCAGGACCAATAACATAGCAGATATTGCTTTGCATTTTATCAAAAATTTCTAAATATGTAGCAGAAGCACCAGACCAGATGTGGCAGTAATATTCAAAAGATGTATATTTATATGTAAGTAGATTTATTACAAGCTTGAACTGAAATTATTTTAACTTTTAAAGTATAACAATTTGTTTTACATGTATTGTACTTATTTTGACACATTTATCTTTCATTAAAATGTCTTCCACTTTTCAGAGTTTACATACTCTATATAAATAAATAAATTCTTCTACAAAAAAAATAAACAGTTTTCCAACAACAATCAAAACCTCATCTTATCAAATGTTTACATTTTTAGCAACTGCAGAATTTTCTAAAAGTTTCTACAAACAAAAGATTTTTCATAGGAGCAAAAATAAATCAGTTTACAAAATACAAACACTATTGGAAACCAAGTAACTGTTTTTTTCTTCACTCAACTGATAAAAAGTAAAATAAAAGCAGTATTAACTAAGATAACTGGAGAAAGAAAAGAAATGGAGAAGAAGCATTTCCTGTGTTACTTACTTGACTCACAGTGAACTCCTTGATATCCAGGCACACAGCCTTTTGTACAGTTTCCATCAGCATGGTGGCATAACTGGTCCAGACAGGTTTGACTACAATTCTTATTACACCCTTGGCCATATGTGTGTTTGTAACAGGCTGGTTAAATAAAAGCAAAGGATTCAAAACATAGAAATAAAAAATAAAAAATTTCAAAAATAAAATTAAAATTACAGACACATATATGAAAAACTTAAGCAAACTATATATATATATATATATATATATATATATATTTTAGAGGCACTGTGGAATAGTGGGTAGCAGCTCAGATTGAGAAATCGGCAAACCGAGTTTGAATTCCAATCAAATCTATTACATTTACTTATGTGCTAATCCTCTTCTTCTCCCTCCATCTATGGATAAATAGCAGGACAGACTGGGTTCTATAGCATTGGATGGCAACTAGTCTAGAAGAAGAACAACTCTAAATTCAAAACCTACCGAGATTCGTTTAGGTACCTTTTGGCATGTAGTGCACCAGGTCTCTGTATTTGGCCCTTCAGAAAGTGTGGTTGGTTCTGCACAAATCCTTCACCACTATAATCAAATAATGTACTGGTATCTGGCTGTTTGTTCCTAGGAACTGCGCTGCTTGACCCTCATATGTCGAATACGATGTGAGACATTTATATATTATACATATATATATATATATATATATATATATATATATTTATACATATATAAATTTGACTTACAACAGAGTTCCATTACTAGAATATGTTGTGCCACAATTTTCCGTGTAAGTCAGAACATTGCTGTGATTTCCTGAAAATGAGCACTTATGTTACTCACCTATGCTAATGCAATATTAAAGTAATAATCTAGGGCATAACATTTTTATGACATATATTAACATAATTAGAACTAAAAAAACATGGTGGATATAAATAATGATAATTGTCACAACAATTAAATGACTTAAACCAAGCTACTAGCCAATGTTTGTCACTGTTTCTCCATTTTCACACCATTTAACAATGTCTAATTTCACTTCCATGGTGATGGCTTTCCTTTTCTTCAAAGCACTTCCATCAGAAAGTGTTACACTATGCCTGGGAGCCATAATGAAGAGCGATAAGTTTCCATAATCAGAACAGAATCAAAAGAAATTGATTGCACAACAATACAATATGGTGTACAACTGAGAACTGACCCATGTGGCTTTCTTCACTCTTGTATTGTATGATGATGTATTCCTCTACAATGCATTGTTCTTCTGCCATCCATTTGTGTTATATGTGTAAGATAAATGGTGTAATTCAAAACAAGATTAATAGAGATTATGTCATAACCACAAATCATCATAGGGTGGGGTTACTGCAACCTGGGTACTTACTGTGTGTATATGTGTGCTTATTCTTGATATAAAAAATATCAGCATAATTTGCTAGGTCCTTACTATTATACTGGTACCTTAGCCGTTTTCCTACAAGGAAACATTTGGCATTCATCAACTGAGCAACAAGTACTGTTTTCAGTAAACAATTTATAAAATCTTTCTCTTAAATCACTATTTTAAGGACCACAGGTTTCTCAAGTCCAGTAGCTTTTATTGCTCTTTCCAGTGTTGATGGGGATTTCCTTCTGAAGCTTTAGTTGTTGCTGTTGTTTGTAGTCCTCAAGTGATGGGATTTATGTTATCTGGTACAGTTCTTTTTTAGTGATTTTGTAGTGCCAGTCCACAATGTTCAAAGAAGGATGATCTTTGCCAAGGCTTTCAGGTTTCACTTGCTCAAAGCCATTTTTAAGCATTTGTATTCAGCTGACAATTTAGATATTTCTGAATGTGTTTGGTGACATGCATGACATCCACATGAATGGCTTGATCTGACAAGGCTATTTAAGAACAGAATTTGAGTTTTCAGCTTGACATTTTGCTTTTGTAGCAATTTGAGGTCTTGGTCAAAACTATCTCCAGCATGTCCCATTCCATGTTCAATTTAATATTTTTTATTATGAGGTCTTCATTTGTGAGCATTTTTTTATTTATTATTACTGTAATCACCTCTATTGCAAAATCAGTCTTTCTAGCTCTTGGCTTTTTAAAACAATTTTGAACAATTCCCCAGTGTTAACAAAAGACAATACTATCTGATACAATGAGTGCAAGCAAGAGATAAGAGTAAAGAAAAAGTTAGACATTACAGATAAAACATATGCAGATACACTTAACATATTTTTTGTGATGTTAGACACTCACTTGTTCTAAATTTCATTAAGACAGTGAATGCTCATAAACATTTCTGAAATGCTTGTTGTAGACAAGACTTTGTACTGGTAGTAATAATGCCTTCAAATAATACTCACACTAATAATACTTGTTCAAAGAGTAATCTCTGAATAGTAATTTATATAATGATCAGTATAGGGAAATAGTATAGAGAATAGTGATCACTTAGACGTCATGCTAATTCTTATTTATGCATTTCCTTTATGATCACATGATCTACTTATTTAATAATGGAATCGTCCATGTTTGCTCACTGGTGATCTGTGTTCAAATTATGTTGTCGGCAATAACACTATTCCTATAAAACAATATTATATATGTAATATAACAGGTAATAAAAAATTCAATCCAGGTGGGCAGGACATCTTTCTTATATGAGTGACAGCAGACTTCCAAAACGGCTTCTTTATAGCCAGTTTCTAACAAAGAGGTCAGTTGGAAGGCTTGCAATTCAAAGACAGACTCAACAACAATCTGAAGTGATGCAGTATCTCCTTTTCCTCCTGGGAAAACAAAGCATCAGAATGGAGGAGCTGTCCTGCTTCTCATCTATAAAAAAGATTTTAGCGAGGCTGATTTGAACATCGGGCTTAAATGCATACAAATATTAAAGAAAGTTGACAGCAAGCTGTTCCTCTCAATGATAGCTTTACCTGCCGCTGTAGCTTTGTCACACACAGTAAAGCAGGCCTTGCTGTCCACTCATAGAAGCATGTGGCAATTGATCCTCAATGACTCAAGCAAAATTGCTTAAACACATGTTCCACCTCTGTAATGTTTGCAGGTCATGGGAGACTTATGTGTTCCATAGAACTTGAGCACCACTTTATTTTACTGAACTCTCATTTATTGTCCACTATACATATATATATATATATATATATATATATATATATAAAAATAAGTGAATGGATATGAGTTATGATTGCTTTCATGCTTATGTGATCCTCAGACAACTGATGGTTACAAACTCATATCCATTCAATTAAATATGTTACGTCTATCACTGATATTCGAGCACTTTCCAATAAGCCCCACACATATATAAAATATATACAGAATATATATATATATATATATATATATATATAAAGTCTGATAAAAAGTATCCTAAAGTACACACAGTAAAGCTACTTGATACATATTATTTTGCATACACACTAAGCTATAATGTTCTCGCTTTTTGCCCACGAACAACATTCCAAATGTCCCATAACCACTATATTTAGATATCAACCCTTGCAACTTTGTCTTTCCAAAAATCAAATCCTGCTTGAAGGAAACATCATTTTAATTTTGACTTACATCAGGTATTCACAATATACATATGGCACTGAAGTTGTCAAGTGACTCCATAATTTAAAAAAGGAAAGGTCCCATCTGGAATCCACTATCATGCCCTGTCCAACTGATAATAAATGTTGCCTTGCCAAGAGAAATTTAGGTAGTGTTCACACCAACTCACCAGATGTCAGAGCACAAACAGGTCTGGGCATTTCCACAATGTCAAAGTATACTGGTGCCACCTACCATTATCTATTCATACTGCTATTCCAAGACTTTGGCATATCATTGTTTTCTAAGTTTTCAAGATTAGAGTAAACCTATGTTATCTGAAAGAATGAACATATTTTTGTCTAACTTAGAAACAAAACCATTTTTTCCCTTTCATATAGCAACACATATTTTATGGTAATACCTTATATAAAATGGCAGGTGAAATTGCTTTCAATTCTCAAATATTTCTGATAAACTTGTTTTGGCATACACATTTATAAATACATACATCATTTGCAGATAGACACATTTTGTGAATGTGGATATGAATACATATTTATATGATGTAGATATGCATGCATATATATATTCCTTAATTTTATATAAAGGCTTACATATATCAATGTGTGTACATATAGGGATTATACATGTGTATGTGTAAATAGGCACATATATGAAACTTTATACACTATTCTTTTTCATTGCCAGGGCCAGTTGCAAAATTATGTAAACCTCTTGGCTATATTCCAGTAACTGCATAGTCATCTGGAGTGTTAAGAGAAGTCTGCATTAAACTTAGTTAAGATTGATGGGTAAGAAAACATTCTAACAGAAGAATTTGGAGAGGAGAAAAAACAATTAACTTGCTGACATTTCTGATTGCATTTACAAGAATCTTCCTGCCTTATTATTGATTTGTGATTAAAGAAATTTCAAGTGCTTTTGTTTTGTTTTTTGTTTGGAAATGAATGAGGAAATATGCGAGAGAATTCTGCCCTTTTCCAAGCAAAATTCTTCATTATGGAAATAAGTTTGAGTTTGGTATTGCATAGAAATCATTGCAAGCTGATTTCTCTTTACAATCAAAGTATCTTTTAAGAATTTGTGAATTTGTTGTGCTGGTGCAAAAAAAAAAAAAATTATCAAAACCAAAGAAATAATTAAATTAAAATGCAAAACACAATGAGTAAAATGTCTTAAAAGTAAATTACAAGAATGAATGGGAATTATTGATCAAAGACTAACTCTTCAGCCTTCAACAAGAGAATCAAAATAAAATATAATTAAAAAAAAATGTATTTGGAAAGGAAAGGCACAAGAAAAGACTGAGGTAATCCAATAAGCAGTCAATAAAAAAAATAATAAAATAAAACTCTTGGCAAGAAATCAACTATAAAGAAAAATATAAAAAAATTGAAAAGAAAAAAGCAAACAAAAGGTAGCTAAAAAAAAACAAAAACAAATGAAATTAAAATGAAAGAATTAAAAAACAAAACAATGTGGTTAGTGTAAAAAATGGATGTTAAACAAACAACAAATACAGAGAAAATAGAGCAGACAACAAATCAAACTAAAAAGCCAAGTT